TTTGTATCTTTAAAAGCAATGAATGTTAACTCTATGTTGGGAAAAAAAATTAAGGGTTTTGGTTGAAATTCAAGTCTGGTCAACCTTGTTTTAGTGAATACATGAACTCCAACCTTTACAAGCTTCGTAATTTGACCACGATGTTTTTCATGCAACTGCAGTTGTTTTATATGAAAGATTCTTTGGGAAAATTATTAGGATCTTGACGATGGGTTTATCATTTGTTAGAGAGGGGAAGAAGAGAACAGTTATTGATGTAGCTCGAAATTTTTCTCAAAATACATGATTAGTATATTACCAAAAAGATAATATACAAACTCACTACGAAGACTCATATAAAGTAGTACTCGATACATTCTAGTGTTAATTTATTTGACTGATTATTAATTTTTATTAGTGCCGCGACTTGCTAGTTTGTGGAGTTTAGGTTTAAACCCAAAGGGCACCCACTCGTTTAAGCATTGGGACTAAGGATCTGTTAAGATGAAGACTCATGACCTCATTGGCTCCACCAACAAGTTCACCGCCAATGAAGACGGCCGGAACGGAAGGATTGCAACCGAGCCTCGAGAGAGCTTGTTCGATTTCACGTCCTCTAGGGATCTCGTCGAGCTCGTGAACCGCGGGGTCAACCCCAAAGTCGTAAAAAAGGGTTTTGATGGTGTGGGACATGCAACATGAGCTCTTGCTGAAGATCACCACCGGCTTCTCAGCTGCCAACTTTGTCACTCTCTCCATTTGATATTGTGGAAAACAATGCCAAAAGATAGCTAGAAAAAAAGTTTTGCAAGTGAGAGGGTAAGTATATAGTACTTTATGTTTGTTGAGATTGTGCTATGCTTTGAATCCTCAACAGGCACTGGTTTTATAGGGTTTTTGAGGAATTTACGTGGCGTTTGGTCGGCAAGAAAATAAAGCTCTTCTTTTTCCGGGAATTTAGAATTGTTCGATTAGTTCATAAATGAAAGCAAACAAATGCTTTTTTTTCACCATTGCAAATGGAAAAAGAAAGAGCACCATCACGAATCTTTCTTTCCATACGGATTACGTGCTGTTTGTACGGTGAAACATTAACTTTTTTTGGAGCAAATCCAGGGTTTGATTCTCATTCATCTTCAAAATCTATACTTTCTCTGTAGCAAAAACAAAACTATTCTCTTTGTAGCAACACTTTAACATTTTGAATTTCTATTCTATGCCCAGTATTATACATCATATTTCTATTCTTTCATTCTCGGAAGAATTTTAATTTGACGAAAATAGCAATACAAACGGATTCTACTTCGGATGTATGAAGTTTGTGTTAATCTTGGGGCAACGTCCATTTTTTATATTACACCAATCTTGACAAAATTGTATCTAAGACAGTAATCTTTATCATGGTACAATAAATCGTTTCATTCCCTCTTGTTTGTGCTAACGTTGTAGTTTTACAGAAACTGTATTTTTATAACAATCTAGAACTGTTACTGTCATGGAGGCATCTAATGAGTTGGAGAAAGATGTTGAGTTTATCCAATTGGGACCTTTTAATTCTTTCTGTTTGCTGGTAAAATCTGAAAAAAAGCATCGATTCTAAATTAAACGATCTGAATAAATTTCAAATGTACAGCTCATAGTTTTATGTTTACGAATAAAAGTGGCCTGACATAGAAAGTGATGAAAACATTGGATAGATGCCCTAATTAAGGTCATGATGTCCCAACGTCATCCATTGTATATATATACATTTATTCTCTTTCTTTTTATAATATAGTTTTATTTAAAAAATAAAATTTCAACTATATGGAACAAAATCTCTGAATGATCAGATCACCTCAACCAAAGAGAATTATATCTGATCGGCTGAAACGATATGGCTGATAAATATAATTTATCAGCTCCCATTATTCCTTTCTAAATTTATTAACTATATATAATAAGAATATATGGTTTCGACAAATTCAATTTCAACATGTTTCAAGAAGTAATATTTTGATTACTGGTTATCTTGCTAAGAATGGAATATCGAGAGATGATTGTTCCTAAGCGAGGGCAGAACTAGGATGAAATTATGGGAGGGATCAAGTTGTTTATCTTTGAAACTAACTAGGCTCTAAAAGGTAATTAAACCACAAAAAATAGTGGATCGGGACTTAATTTCACTAATTTCAAAATTATCATGTCCTAAAAATTAATTAAACTAAAAAGTTAGAGACAATATTTAATTTCATTTAACTTTAAAACTGATAATGTCTTAAAAATAATTAAACCGGAAAATTTTAGGGGGATTGAACTTAATTTTAATGGTTTCAAAATTTTTAAGGGCTTAAAATACAATTAAACCATAAAAGTTGGGGTGGGCCATATCCCCTTACAACCCCACGTGGTTCCGCCATTATTTCAAAGTCCAATAGTGAGATCATGTTTTGAGGTTTTAGTTTTATTTGGCGAGTTTCATATTTTGATTTTTCCTTTTGTATTAATCTGTATGAATTTATTTATGGTACTCTTTTCTTCTATTTAGGCTTCAAAGGATTTTTAATAGGGCACACAATTCAAATTAACTCTCAACCAAATATTACTTTTGTTAAGAGATAAAACAGTAAAATCTCATTATAATCGTCAAAAGAATTAGAAAGTTTTTCACTTTATTTTTCATCGGAATCTTGGCTTTTTTATTATTATAATGTAAAGTTAGACGTATTTCATACAGCTATATGTATACTTTTTATTATAAGTGATTTTCATGTCGAGCTAATGTTTTTCCTGCAGGCAACCGTGACCTAAAAAACATATATGCATGCCATATTATATATTCATGTATGAACTTTGGATATAAAGAACAATATCAAAATAGCGACCCTATTGGAAGGCCAAGAGCCATATTTTTCTAGGGTTGTTTATTTGTTTATTTCTCTTCGTTCTGTGTAGATATGTATAAATATTGAGTTACTTATCAGTAAAACGATATGATATTTGAAATAATTATCCCAAAAAAATGGATTAATATAATATTATTTTTTATAATCGTCTATTTTTCACTTTATCGCTTATATTTTTTTTCCTGAATTATCCATGTATTATTATTTTATTCTCAATTATTTTATGTACTGTCATTTTATCTTTTTCATTATACAAAAATACTGAAAATTCTATTAATTAGAGACGTGGTGCATGGGTGATAAGATGAGGGAAAGGGAGGATAAGAAGGTTCGCGACTTGCCAAAAGAATGTCAACTTTTTTACTTTTTGAACAAACGAGAATAAATATATGAAAACGAAATGCTATGCATGCAAGGACGGATCGTGGCATCCTATCTTCGGCTTTTGGATTACTGAGATACAAAGAATCCCAAAATTTTATAAATTCAATTATTACCTCCAAAATATTTATGATGTTAATGAATTTTCCTTCCCTTTTTGTAATTTATAATATTGAATTAGTGATTTTATTAATTTTACAAAGTGTACATGGATAGAATTGTAAACAAAATCCGATAAAGAAATTAAAATTCAATATTTATCGTTATCAAATCATCGAGGATAATAAATTAAATACGGAAACGTATTTAAATTTATCTATAAACTGAAAATCCTGAACTTCGATGTTGAAATATCAAATCTTGTGGTTTTAATCCTTCAAATTAACACTCAAATATTTCAGAGAATATATTCTCATTATTATAAAAATGGGATCTAGAAAAGTTAAATCATGTGTGTTTTGGGGCCATAACCCTAATAAATAACCTAACACGTTAATATTAGTTTCTTTATTTTGGTATCTACACATATGTGACTCATATTTTATTTAAATATTGAAGTCCAGTTAAGCTTGACCTTATTAGATAACTTTAATATGGATTAAATATTTTATGATAGTAAATAACAAACAATTGTTACTTATTATATATGTCATGTCCATATATATAATCTAACAATCTCTCACTTTTATATTCCAATAAAACCAGAGTTCGTATATTTGGTGATCTCTATCTTATCAGATATTCGATATGTTAACATGTAATGTTTTGGTGGATAAGTCTCCTAACGGAGATTTTCTGCATACACAGTGACTCAAACTCGAGATTTGCTTAAGTAATATTAAGTCGCTTACCACTTGAATCAACCTCGTTGGTTGAGTTGCACCTTTAGTAGCTTTATTATATGAACTTTGACCTTTAAATATTCACTTAAGTTGTCATTATTATGTTTTGGTAATTTTAATTAGACTCATCCTATGATGCCGTTGTTTCATCATATTCCATGAAATCTATAATATGTGCACAAAAATAATTTGAACGCTAAATCTACAAAGTCCAATAATACACACCTACTCTACTATATTTTATGACATTTATAAATATAGGTATGTGAGTCTGATATGAATCATTTAGTTACAAAAGAAATAACCTTTAAGTAGCTTGTTATTGTTTCTTTTGAGTTGGACCTTTAGTATATTTATTATGATGTGAACTTTGACCTTTACATACTCACTTAAGTAATCATTATTACACTTGAACAATTTTAATGAGACTCTTCTAATGATATCATTATCTTATCAAATTCTACAAAATCTATAACATATGTACAAAAACCAATTTAAGCGTAGAGCTTATAAAGCTAAGTGATACAAATCTACTCTACTATATTTTATTATATTCATAAACATAAGCATGAGAATTTGATATGAACATATAAACATTGTACATTTAATCATATAATCTTTAATTAATTATTTGGGTTTAACTTATTTACTAAATGTCTAGAGAGTAGCCTATTTCAAATCATCATATATATTATTTTATTATGATAAACATTATCAATATTCCTAAAAGCTACTATAGTTCACTCGATTTGGGACATATTATAATGAAATCAAAAGTTTAATACTTATGTTATAACCTTTAAAAGTTTGGTGCCCAAAAAGATAATTTTGAGATAGTTTAGTTACCATATCAGAACTTTACCCTTAAATTATTTATTGTTTTCTTTTCTTTTTTTCTCTTTACCTTCTGGGTTTTCTTACAAAAACAGTTTTTTTCTTCTTCGATTTGTTGATCTGCCACCTTGGTTTCGATCTCTGTCTTAAGTGGGGGCACTTGAGATCATAGACAGAGAGAAGAAGCTAAAAAGAGAGTATTTGAATTAGGGGGAAAAAGGGTTGGTAAAGATTGGAATTTTAAGATGAAATTTGGAGTTAGTTTTTTTTTTAAATTTAAAAAAAGTGTGAAAATGAAGATGAACTTGGAGTAATTGTTGAAGAATTTTGTTAAACTTTGGATTTTAATTCAGGGTTTTTCTTTTTTTTTTGGGGGGGATTTTGATTATGGGTCGGTGTTTTCCTTGTTTTGGATCATCAAACAAGGAAAGCAGTAACGGTGGGGGAAGTGTGAAAGAACTAAGCAAGAAAGATTCAACCAAAGATGGCTCAGTTGGTCAGTCTCATCATGTTAATAAAGTTAATTCAGGTAAAATGTTTTCATTTTCTTATCCAAATTCCACTCTATTTATGCATCAGCTGGAGAATGTTGAAGCTTGCATTTTTCATGGTTTTGTTTTTCAAGTTTTTGATGACATGTAGATGTTAAAATATGCTGGTAGTTTGATCTGATTCATCCATAGTTCTTTGATGAATTATCAGTTGTTGATTATTTTGTGTTTAAAGTAGTTTGAGTTCTGCCTAGATGATGAGTAATTTGGAGATCAGCCATTAACGTTTCGGAATGTAGATTTTCTCATTTTCTTTTAAATTCTTCTTCATCAGCAATCATTAAGCTATGCTAGTAAATTGCCTTTGAATTGAAAATTTGGAATGATCCTGCAAATTATTTTGAATTTAATAGAATAAATGGTGTTTTCTTCTTCATTCGGAATGTAAAATGCAGTGATATAAATTCAGAACTCTGTGCATTCATCTCAGACTTTAATGGTATGATTAGTTTTATGCGCAAGTCCAAGAGAGACAAGCTTTCATATTCTGTTGAAGAATTGCATTACAAAATTCTAATATTATAAAAGGTTCCATCTTAATTTCGAGGTGAATTTGCAATGAGCTGTTTTGTTGTTCATTTTATCCCTGTAACAATCGGATATTTTCAAAATAATATTTAATTGAAATTGGAGGTTTTAATTGTGAAAATCGGTAAATTATGAAAATCGGTAAATTATGGGGACTAAATTGAAAGATTTTAAAACTTGGAGTTTGTTTTAGAGTTAAAGAAAATTCAGGGACCAAGCCCTGAATTTACCAAAGAAAATTAGGTATGTTATGTTATAAACGTGGTTTTCTGTTTCAAAACAGAAAACCACACCTCAATTGCTCCCAAATTCCTTTCTCCCTATGCCGGTTTTCGACTTAGATCCCGATGCCGTCTGAATTCCGATCGTCGTTTTGAAATCACCATCGTGTTCGTTATCGAGTCAGGAACAATCCCTTTAAATTAATTGAAGTGAAACGCTGCCAAACGTCGAAAATTTCAAGTCAAAGCATCGACTTTTTTTTTAGCTCTATCGCCGGGAAAATCTCAAATTCACCGCCGATCGTTGCTCCGTTTACGACACCTCCTGCACCATCGTGTTCCTTGTGCCGTTTCGAGTCCGCCGATGTCATCCTCGGTCTCAGTCGACGGCGGCGCGTGAGGAGGTGGAGCAGTCAAAGATTCGACCGAGTTGAAATCGAGCTCTCCGCCATTCAAAAATTTGAACCGATCTTTGTAAGTATCTCGAAATCGCTCAAAATAATTTTTAGAAATTTTGCCGGGATTTTTAGAGCCCCAGAGGAGGTCTCACGCGCCACACACGCTGTCGTAGGGAGAGTGGAAGCTGGAAAACCGATTTAACCGATTTTGAACTGGTTTTGATCGGTCTGAACCCGTTTGACCGGTCTGACCCGACCTGACCGTTGACCGTTGACCGTGACCGTTGAACTCCTTTGATCAAAACTTAAAATGGCTTTGACCGACCATTAAACGACCGTTAATCTTTTCCGAGTATACCTATTCTGATAGTTTTCGACGTCCTGAATCCGTTTCCGAAGTCCGTTTTGTTAAATTCGAACCCGAAGGCCTTCACATTGATGGTCAAAGTGGTTGACTTTGACTTTGACCAAGAATTTAAATTTTTGAAAAGTCATACTTTATGTTTTTCGACGTCCTGATTCCGATTCCGCAATCCGTTTGACCAAATTCAGGCTCGAAATCCTCCAAATTGATAGTCAAACCTTGAAAATACTTGTATACTTAAGAATTTTAGCTTTGAACAATTAAGTAAGATTTGAGACTGATAAATTATTATTATTTGAAGGTATAAGAGACTTTCCGGATCGTTCGACAGCTCGACCCAACTCTTCTAGATCAGTTAAACCACGTTCGAAAGCTGTAGCAGAGCGTGGTGAAACCAGCAATCAGTAAATCTACTATTTGAACCTATTATCGAGGTGTGTTCCCTAAGTACTATTTAATTGTTTTATTTGTTTTGAAATATGGTACATTGAAAGCTACGATTTACTGTTTATTGATGGTTTATGGACAATAACTGATATATGATTATTGGTTTTCACCTATATATGATTACGAATTTATGGAAATTATGCTTATTGCATAAATTATATTGATTGAAAATATTGATTTAGGGCTGGATTGAATTACAATGGTATAGCTCTGATCAAGCTAATAAACAGTACGGACCTAATGTGACTCTTGGGTAGACTCGCGGGCCCAAGATGCTTCATTAGGTTGGCTTCCTTTGCTGTGTGCTTAAGGTAAGCTATATAGACTTATGGACTTATGGACTTACGGACTTAAGGATACAAGCTCTAAAGCCTATCCTTAGGTTGGCTTCCTTTTTGTTATGTGCTTAAAGTAAGTTATATGGACGCAGTTTTGGGAACTGCGGATGATGCACAAGAAAAGGGTTTAAACTATGATTTTCAAAAGTTAAACTCTATTATGAAATTATGATGGTTTACTGAACTATTATTCGTTTATTGTACCTATTGTGATTTTATGGTAATGTGGGACACACTGAGCCTAGCTCACATTTCAAAAATGTTTTTTCCCCTTTCAGATACTGTTGGTTAGATACCCCGGATTGAGCACTTGGAGGATCAACATATCTCTTGAAGTATATTTGATTGTAATGTTTTTATCATTCAGGTTGACTTTATTTTGGTGACAAGGACCTTATTTTAAAGTATTGGATTTTATAGTGATTACACTTTTGCTATTAATATTCGATTTATCGTGATTTTGATTTTTAAGACATGTTTTAAATTAATTTTTTTACTTATTGGTATTATATTTATGAGTTGGGTTTTGATAGTATAATATCATGTCATTTATAATGTGATTTTACAATGATTGAATAACGGTTTCAGAAAATGTCTTTAAGAATCATGTATGTGATCTACTAGACTTAGTCGAAACGTATAGGCCGGGTATAGGGGGTTACATTTATTGGTATCAGAGCTTTTGATTTTTAACCCTCGGACTGTGTATGAGTCCACATTGAAAATACGATTTTGAAATATTTTACAAAACAAGTTACAAAGGCCATGTCACAAAGTTATTAAGATTTTAACTGTGTTCGAGACTCCAAGTGCTTATCTAACCCTAAGTTTTATCTTCTGTAGTAAACTTGAGATCCATCAAAATGAGTGCTAGACGTGGTCGTCGAACTAGCCGTGGACGAGATCGAGTGGCTAGATTTGCAGATCCGATCAATGAGATACGGGTAGATCCCCCACCTCCGATAGGTGATCATGTTCCTACGACCCCAACGAATCTGCCTCCTACCGCTGGTATTGGCATGGCTACACCGATCATAGGAGCGACGAATATTGAGTCCGAGTCTACCATAGTTGCATTGGATGAGAATTTTGGTAGACAGTTTCTGTAATTAATACAGGGAGCAGTCAGAGCTACTGGTGTTGTATCCGAGGTTCCTATTTCACAGACTTTGATTGCCAATGGAGTTAGAACTTTTGGGGGACATATTGGTGGAGCTCCTACTGAAGCTGAGGATTGGCTACAGGATACAGAAAGACGCATGGATCAGTTGGGTTTGGACTTAACTAAGAGATATTTGGGGGCAGTAGCGATGTTAGATGGCAATGCCTACACTTGGTGGGAGTCATTTACCAGTAGTGTTCCTACCGATCGTTTGACCTGGAATTTCTTTAAGGATCACTTTTAGAGCCGTTTTCTAGGAGAGCGTTACTTAGCTCATAGACGACATCAGTTTCTTGGGTTTGGCTGGATATTATCGACGTTTTATTGAGGGCTTCTCGATCATTGCTGCTCCTTTGACAAAGTTGTTAAGGAAGAATGTGTCGTTTGACTGGGGTGAGGCACAACAGGAGAGCTTTGAGAAATTAAAGGCGGTTTTGACTCAAGCACCATTACTGATTCAATCAGAGTCCGGGAAGGATTTTACAGTGTATAGTGATGCGTCACATTCAGGACTCGGCTTGTTCTAATGCAGGAAGGTAAGGTGGTGGCTTATGCATCCCGTCAGCTGCGACCGTATGAGTGTAGTTATCCTACTCATGATTTGGAGTTAGCAGCAGTGATTTTTGCCTTGAAGATTTGGAGACACTATCTTTATGGAGAGAAGTGTTACATTTTCACGGATCATAAGAGCTTAAAGTATCTTCTGACTCATAATGAGCTTAATTTGAGACAGCGATGCTGGCTAGAGCTTCTAAAGGATTATGATTGCGTGATTGATTATCACCCTGGTAAAGCTAACATTGTAGCGGATGCTTTGAGTCGAAAGGCGGTAACAGAGTTGAGATCTTTAATGGCCAGGATGAATTTATATGACGATGGCACTCTGTTAGCAGAATTACAAGTTAAGCCGACCTTGGTTGATGAGATCAAAGCTAAGCAGCCCCTTGATAGCTCCTTGCTTTCCATCTTTGAGCAAGTAGAGCAAGTGACAAGCTCAGATTACGCCCTTGATCAGGATGAAGTTTTATGCTTCAAAGGTCGGTATTGCGTGCCTGATGATGCTGAGTTGAGGCAGACTATCCTTACTGAGGCTCATAGTAGTCCATATGATATGCACCCCGGTGGAGATAAGATGTATCAGAATTTGAGAGAGGTATCATTGGGTCGGCATGAAGAAGGACATCTCAAATTTTGTGGCGAGGTGTTTGACTTGTCAGCAAGTTAAGGCAGAACATCAACATCCATCAGGTTTTTTATAACCTATCAAGATTCCTGAATGGAAATGGGAGCGTATTACTATGGATTTTGTTACTGGTTTACCTATGACTCATTCGAAAAAGAACTCAATTTGGGTGGTTGTTGACATACTTACAAAGTCAGCTCACTTTATTCCTGTACGGATAAATTATACGTTGGACAAGTTGGCGAGGTTGTATATTTCAGAGATTGTCAGATTGCACGGTGTTCCGTTATCTATCTCAGATCGAGATCCGAGATTTACTTCGAGATTTTGGAAGGCGCTACATACGGCTTTGGGTACGAGATTGGATTATAGTACCTCCTTCCACCCACAAACTGATGGTCAATCTGAGAGAGTAATTCATATTCTGGAGGATATGTTACGGGGTTGTGTAATTGATTTTCGTGGTAGCTGGGAGAACTTTTTGCCTTTGGCTGAATTCGCTTATAATAACAGTTACCAGACCAATATTCGTATGGCACCCTATGAAGCACTCTATGGGCGTAGGTGTCGTACCCCGATTTATTAGACTGAGTTGCGTGATAGGAAGACTTTGGGACCTGAGTTAGTGCGGGAGACGGAAGACACAGTCAGATTGATCCGTGACCGTCTGAAAGCGGCATTTGATAGGCAGAAATCTTTTGCAGATCAAAGGATGAAGGATATACAGTTTGACATTGAAGATCAGGTTTTTCTCAAGGTATCTCCATGAAAGAAAGTATTGAGATTTGGACGTAAAGGTAAACTGAGTCCGCGATTTATTGGGCCGTATCGTATTCTGAAGAAAGTTGGACCTGTTGCTTATCAGCTTGAGTTGCCTTCCCATCTTAGTCGTATTCATGATGTTTTTCATGTGTCTATGTTAAGGCGATACCGTCCAGATCCTGATCACATCATTCAAGTTGATGAGGTAGAGCTGAGACCTGATTTTTCATATGAGGAGGAGCCCATCTAGATCTTAGAAAGAGATGAGCGAGTTCTTCGGAATAGGTGTATTCCAATGGTCAAAGTTCAATGGAGTAATCGAGGCCCCTCAGAAGCTACTTGGGAGACATTGAAGTTAATGGAGGCTCAGTTTCCTCAACTATTCTCATAAGGTAAATTTCGAGGACGAAATTTCTTGTAGAGGGGGAGAATTGTAACAACCCGGATATTTTCAAAATAATATTTAATTGAAATTGAAGGTTTTAATTGTGAAAATCGGTAAATTGTGGGGACTAAATTGAAAGATTTTAAAGCTTAGAGCTTTTTTTAGAGTTAAAGAAAATTTAGGGACCAAGCCCTGAATTTACCCAAGAAAGTTAGGTATATTATGTTATAAACGTGGTTTTCTGTTTCAAAATAGAAAACCACACCTCAATTGCTCCCAAATTCCCTTCCCCCTACGCCGGTTTTTGACTTAGATCCCGACGCCGTCCGAATTTCGATCGTCGTTTTGAATCACCATCGTGTTCGTTATCGAGTCAGGAACAATCCCCTTAAATTAATTGAAGCGAAACGCTGCCAAACGTCGGAAATTTCAAGTCAAAGCATCAACGTTTTTTTTAGCTCTATCGCCGGGAAAATCTCAAATTCACCGCCGATCGTTGCTCTATTTACGACACCTCCTGCACCATCGTGTTCCTTGTGCCGTTTCGAGTCTGTCGGTGTCGTCCTCGGTCCCAGTCGACGGCGGTGCGTGAGGAGGTGGAGCAGTCAAAGATTCGGCCGAGTTGAAATCGAGCTCTCCGCCGTTCAAAAATTTGAACCGATCTTTGTAAGTATCTCGAAATTGCTCAAAATAATTTTTAGAAATTTTTCTGAGATTTTTAGAGCCCAGAGGAGGTCTCACGCGCCACACGCGTCGCCGCAGGGAGAGTGGAAGCTGGAAAACAGGTTTAATCGGTTTTGAACCGGTTTTGACCGGTTCGAACTGGTTTGACCGGCCTGACCCGACCCGACCCGACCAACCCGACCCGACCGTTGACCCTACCTGACCGTGACCGTGATCGTTGACCTCCTTTGACCAAAACTTAAAATGGCTTTGACCGACCATTAAACGACCGTTAATCTTTTCCGAGTATATCTATTCTGATAGTTTTCGACGTCCCGAATTCGTTTCCGAAGTCTGTTTCGTCAAATTCGAACCCGAAGGCTTCCAAATAGACGGTCAAAGTGGTTGACTTTTACTTTGACCAATAATTTAAATTTTTGAAAAGTCATACTTTATGTTTTTCGACGTCCTGATTCTAATTCTGCAATCCGTTTGACCAAATTCAGACTCAAAATCCTCCAAATTGATAGTCAAACCCTGAAAATACTTATATACTTAAGAATTTTAGCTTTGAACAATTAAGTAAGATTTGGGGCTGATAAATTATTATTATTTGAAGGTATAAGAGACTTTCCGGATCGTTCGATAGCTCGATCCAACTCTTCTAGATCAGTTAAACCACGTTCAAAAACTGTAACAGAGCGTGGTGAAACCAGCAATCAGTAAATCTACTATTTGAACCTATTATCGAGGTGTGTTCCCTAAGTACTATTTAATTATTTTATTTGTTTTGAAATATGGTACATTGAAAGCTATGATTTACTGTTTATTGATGGTTTATGGACAATGACTGATATATGATTATTGGTTTTCACATATATATGATTACGAATTTATGGAAATTATGCTTATTGCATAAATTATATTGATTGAAAATATTGATTTAGGGTTGGATTGAATTACAATGGTATAGCTCTGATCAAGCTAATAAACAGTACGAACTTAATGTGACTCTTGGGTAGACTCGCGGGCCCAAGATGCTTCATTAGGTTGGCTTCCTTTGCTGTGTGCTTAAGGTAAGTTATATGGACTTATGGACTTACGGACTTAAGGATACAAGCTTTAAAGCCTATCCTTAGGTTGGCTTCTTTTTTGCTATGTGCTTAAAGTAAGCTATATGGACGCAGTTTTGGGAACTGCGGATGGTGCACAAGAAAAAGGTTTAAACTATGATTTTCAAAAGTTAAACTCTATTATGAAATTATGATGGTTTAATGAACTATTACTCGTTTATTGTACTTATTGTGATTTTATGGTAATGTGGGACACACTGAGCCTAGCTCACCTTTCGAAAATGTTTTTCCCCTTTTCAGATACTGTTGGTTATATACCCCGGATTGAGCACTTGGAGGATCAACATATCTCTTGAAGTATATTTGATTGTAATGTTTTTATCATTCAGGTTGACTTTATTTTGGTGACATGGACCTTATTTTAAAGTATTGGATTTTATAGTGATTACACTTTTTCTATTAATATTCGGTTTATCGTGATTTTGATTTTTAAGACATGTTTTAAATTATTATTTTTTACTTATTGGTATTATATTTATGAGTTGGGTTTTGATAGTATAATATCATATCATTTATAATGTGATTTTACAATGATTGAATAACGGTTTCAGAAAATGTCTTTAAGAATCATGTATGTGATCCACTAGACTTAGTCGAAACGCATAGGCCGGGTCTAGGGGGTTACAATGCCACAATTACTGGAATGTAGCCTTTTAACTTTTGTTTTCCCTGTTTAATTGTAGTATTTCTATTATTTTTCTGCTTTCTTTCATCTTCTCCAGTTTATCTCATTCACTTCTTTGAACAGACAAATCAAAATCTCGGAGTGTTTCTGATCCTAAGAAGGAACCAACAGTACCTAAAGACAGATCAACTGCAAATATTGCAGCACAGACATTTACCTTCCGAGAGCTTGCTGCTGCCACGAAGAACTTTAGGCCGAAATGTCTTTTAGGAGAATGGGGCTTTGGGCGTGTCTATTGACAGAAATCAATCAAAGTAGCTACAAACGATCTAGCTATGGTGAACTGGAAGTGCAAGAGAGAAGAAGAGAAGAAGGTACGAAGACAGTGATATTTCATAATGTGAAGTAGAAAGATACAATAATTTAGGAAAATAAGAAAATACTCATTCTAAATCTAAATAGTGGATAGGCCCACTATATATACATATAAGTCTATCTAACTAGCCCAACTGACTAGAAATCTGTTACAATGGATTTAACAAAAACAGTTACAACAATGGGTATAAAAGCAGTTACAACAACGGCTATAAACTGATATATGATATACTAATATTCTCCTGGTTTTCTTATGATCTGAACTGCCACTTCAACATTTTTCTGCTTCTTCAGACTTGTTTATCATGACTAATGTTGTTGATTTCTGCCCAAGACGTGAGCGCATATCACTGAACACTGCAGGTGACAACGGCTTGGTGAGTATGTCAGCAACCTGTTCTGCAGAAGGAACAAAGTTTACACTAAGTTATTCAGCCAATACTCTTTCCCTCACAAAGTGTATATCAATTTCCACATGCTTTATTCAAGTATGGTGTGTAGGATTTGCTGCCATAGAAATTGCAGAGGTGTTATCACACCATACAACTAGCTTTCCAGTTATACTAATGCCAATTTCATCAAGTAATTGTTCAATCCAAATCAATTCAGAAACAGAATTAGCAAAGCTTCTATACTCTGCATCTGAAGTGGACCTAGAAACAACGCTTTTTTTCTTTGAACACCATGCAATTGGATTACATCCAAGATATACACAGTAGCCTGTTGTGGATCTCCTGTCTTTCACCGGGGCTGCCCAGTCTGCATCAGTGTAGCAGACTAAACTGAAACTGCCAGTTTGTGAGAAAAATAACCCATGCTCAAGTGTCCCACTGAGGTATCTCAATATACGTTTCACTGCCCTCCAGTGAGTATCACACAGACTGTTCATGTATTGACTAACCTTGTTAACAGCATAGGCTATGTCAAGTATTGTTAAAAATAGATATTGCAAACCTCCCACAATACTGCGATAGAGATGAACATCACCAAACAATTATCCATCATTTGCCTTGAGTTTAGGAGTAAGGACCATAGGAGTGGGAGTGGGAGTTGGAGTTAACTCATCTAAGTTTGACCTCTTTAACAACTCAGAAACATACTTCTTCTGATTTAAAAACAAGCCTCTTGGAGAGTGTTCAACTTGCATTCCAAGAAACAATTCCAACTTGTTGAGTTAATCGATTGACGGAATCGGCCAAGAGCGGGTGAATTGGCAATTAAATTTTTGTGGAAGCTTTTGCAGAAAATTGAAAGTAATTGCACAACAATTTAGAGTGGTTCGACTTTATCAACAAAGTCTACTTCCACTACGTTAGCTATCCACACTAAGGATTTTCCAACAAATTCACTAATTTGTTCTTTCTTTTGAGGCCAAAGAGATAACCTTACAACTCCCTCAAGAATATACCACAATTCTTGAGAACACTCTTTTCTCAAAGAGAAGATTATAAATTTGCAAACTCACAAGAAAAACCTCACAAGGCAAGTATGTTTGCACAATTCTAGAACAAAGGAAGAACACTCAATAATAAATACAATTGAGCACAATAAGTGTTCTTGAAAGCAAAATGAATATTGAATGAAAAATAGGCTTGAAATGCTCAAACTTGAGGTTTGATGCTTTCTCTTTCATTCTCTCTTGATTCTAGTTTATTGATGTTTCTTGTTATTGATCAATGGCTTCTAAGCTTGCTTAAATACACATTGAATCACTTTTGAACGTTGGGGATGATTAGTGGAGTCAATATAGTCGTATAAGTGTGAAAACAATTAATTAAAACAGTTGGGAGCGTCAGTGCATCGATGCATACCCATGGTGCATCGGTCCATCAGTGTAAAATTTAAATATTTTGACCGTTGGACCCTTAGTGCATCGGTGCACTAAGAGTGCATCGATGCATCAAGTGCATTCGATGTTTCAAAATAGCCAGAGTACATCGATGCATGGTTGGTGCATCGATGTATCAAATACATTCGATGTTTTCATAAAATCCTCAGCGCATCGGTGTATGGTATGTGCATCGATGCATGAAATGCATTCGATGTTCAATTTAATTTATGGTGCATCGATGCATGGATTGGTGCATCAGTGCATCACTTTGAAAATTTGATTTTAGGCTTGATTTTGGTTCAAAATACTTTGTGAAAATTGTTTCAAAAATATATTAAGTATAAAACACAATTTTACACATTTAGTAAGGTTTGAAATTGATCTTAAAAGACTTGGAGTAATAATTTGATATTCGATTAATTGAATCGAATATATTTAGAAAATCATTTGTAAAATCTTAAAATTTATTTAAACTAATTTGTTATATCGAAATACAAAAATGTTTTCAACAATCTCCCCCCTTTTGATATAACAAAACATTTGTGTTATTTTAAGATTTTCTAAAAATTTGAAATTAATTTCAATTTAGAAAAATTACTCCCCCTTACTATAACACTTCTCCCTTTTAAAACATTTTAACACTTAACATTTCTCCCCCTTTTTGTTAAATCAAAAAGACTTAAAATCGATTTAAACAAGGTTTTGAAAAACATAGTCAATTGATTAAATATCTATATATATATAGCTTAAGCTGCTAAGATCACAATCAAAAGAGAGTTAGCCATTAGTTTCATAATCAATATTCATAATAAAAATGTGAAATGGTAAATTGGTCATATTTCTACTAAAAAATAAATGATGCATACGTTGTAATAAACCAAAATATATATAAAATATCAAACAGTCATCCAACAATCAAAGAAAGATAATCCAAAATGTTTTAACAATTCAAGTTCAACCCAAAAACAATCAAAGAAAGATAAGTCTATTCATCCATTGAAGGATCGGGAGGAGGAGGAGGAGGGTAACGAGCTCTCATCTCAAGCGAGAGTGCATCCAAACGATCATTCATATCTTGTTGTCGAGCTCCCAAGGTAGAGAGCTGGGACTCAATGAATGTGAAGGGCGAATCCATGGACGCATACCGTAAATCAAATGTCTCCAAAAACGAACGAAAATACGGAGGCATTTGTTCTTCTTGTGGAGCTGGTTCCGGTGCAGGCTCGTCATCAGGTATGTGATCATCGATGTCTTGCATAAGTTGTTGAAATTCAGGATCATCGTCATCAGCCGGAGCTGGAGGAGGAGGAGCACGAGAGGAGCTAGGAGCAGCTCGTGAGGAACTAGCTCCCGAAGTTTGCTTTCCGGGTCTAAAAACCCATTGACCGGTAACCTCGTCTTGTTTCCAATCCACTTTCTTCAAGGATGTGAGATTGATTTATTTTGATGTGGGATAGGATTGTCAAGAGAAACGTCTAGACCAAGTTTGATAAAGAGGTTACTAAGAAGACATCCATAAATCAATGTTTCAACATGTTTTAAAGGAACAATGTTTATGATGTCCACTAGTTGACTGAATATAATGTGGGGCAGATTTATTTTGATTTTATTTTTAAGATAATACATCCACCATAAATCCCTATCACGAAGTGTGGAGTACCTACCTCCGGATGGTCTAAATCACCAAGAGATCATCAAATGGAGAAAACGAACGTGATGAGATCGTAGAGTACTAACACTTGAATTTGGAACTTAGGGATATTCCACATTTTCACTTTCATTATATACACCACTATCATCTAGCCCAAATCGGAAAGCTATAGTCTCGGGGTCAATATTAATATATTGGCCTAAAAGATAGGATCTAATGGCTATAGTTCTACATTGAGTTTCATTTTGAATACACACCGCATTGGAATAGAAAATGCAAACCAATTGTTAATAGACGATAGGTTTAAGCTTAAACAATTTATCAAACCTCCAAGTTTTAAGAATCGGAAGGTATTCGAAATCAATGTCAACCATAGCTTGAAGAGAAGGAATACGCTCTTCACGGATTCTATAAGTTTGGAAAGAGTTTCTGTACCTAGAGTACAATTCGTCTCATGTTAAAAACAAGATCCTAATAGAGATGAAGGTGGAGGAGGAACGGGATTAGGAGGTTGAGGAACGGGAGGACGGTTTTGGTTTGACCGACTCAAAGATGACCTAGGTCGTTTAGGATTTGACATGATTAAAGGAAATCGGAATAAGGAATATCACCTACAATTTGAAACACATGTATGCATAATCAATCCCAAAACTCAAATGAATCCTCAATAATTCAAGATTCTCTATATCATATCCTAATGGGCATGTTTTGAAAACTTTTTAATAATATTTGATAATCATAATATAGTTTTCATGAAAACAACACAATTAAATAAAAAATATTACTAATTTTCGAAATCAATATATATATATATATATATATTTTTTAATTTCGAAATTCAAAGAAAAATCTTGAAAAATTGTTTGTTTTTGACGAAATTGGTAGTAAAATCTAGTTTAGAACCAACAAACAATCAATGCTCGATATAATGTTCATCCTAGAACTAATCAAAACTAGTTCTAAAATCAAAAATAATAAAATAGAGGTTTTTGAAATATTGCCTTGAAAATTCGAATTGAGAGGGATGAGGAGTTGTTTTGCACGATTTAATGATATAAACAGGTTTGAAAGTTGAAAAACTTGAAGATTTCGATGAAAAACCGTTGATTTTGGGCAAGAATGGAGATTTTTTATGAGAGAGAGGGATGAACAGCGAGAGAATTTTAGTTTTAGGGTTTGAGAAAATGAAGCATTTTAACCCAAAACCCGACGGATGCATCGATGCATGACCATGTGCATCGATGCACATTCAAGGCTTGCATCGGTGCATCAACATGATGAATCGATGCACATTCAAAGGGATGCATCGATGCACTAAGCACAGAAATGACAAAAATCCGTTTTAAAACACTCAAAATGCTAAATTAATTGTCTCTAGTGGTATTGGTAACTCATATATTGAAAATTAATCATGTTCAATCAATCAAATTAATCCTTAAACAACTTTTGAACATAAAATTAATTTTCATCAAGCAACATAAACTCCCTCTAACTAATAGCAAAGAATCCAATAAAAAATTATTATTATAAGCATTTTTCATTTATACTTAAAAGTGATAAAATTATTTTCAACACTAAGTGAAGATAGGTCAGTTAAACCTAATTCTCTCTTAAGTGTCCAAAATCTTTCCTTATCTAAGGGTTTTGTAAAAATATTCGCTAATTGGTGCAAAGTATCAACAAATTCTAGAACTACATCTTCCTTACTGACATGGTCTCTAATGAAGTGATGTCTTATTTCAATGTGCTTAGTTCTAGAGTGTTGGATGGGATTTTTAGTGAGACAAATAGCACTAGTATTGTCACACTTAATAGGAATGGTACCTACTTCAATTCCATAATCAAAAAGTTGTTGTTTCATCCATAAAACTTGTGCACAACAACTACCGGCTGAAATGTATTTGGCTTCAGTGGTAGATATTGCAACACAATTTTGTTTCTTTGAAAACCAAGAAATCAACATATTTCCAAGGAATTGGCAAGTACCGGAGGTGCTTTTCCTATCTAATTTGCATCCTCCATAATCCGCATCAGAAAAAGCATGCAATCTAAAGCTAGAGTCTCTAGGATACCAAAGTCCTAAACTAGGAGTGTCCTTAAGGTATCTAAAGATTCTCTTGACAGCTAGTAAATGTGATTCCTTAGGGCATAATTGAAATCTAGCACATAAGCAAACACTAAACATAATGTTCGGTCTACATGCAGTTAGATAAAGCAAAGAACCAATCATTGACCTATATAATTTAAGATCCACATATTTACCTTCTTCATCCAAGTCAAGCTTTGTAGAAGAGCTTATTGGAGTGTCATGAGGTTTCCCATTTTCCAGTCCAAACTTCTTGAGCATATCTTTGACTGACTTAGCTTGATTGATGAAGATGCCATCTTTTCTTTGCTTGATTTGGAG